GTTTGTTCTGATGTAATGCAAAAGGAGATCATATGCTATCAAGAGACTTCTGGAGATGGAACCTAGTTATGCAAAATTTCAATCCACGTAAAATTTTCTTCGTAAATACATCATGGGCTTTAAGTGCAGCGCAAACTTTAAAAACTTATCTATTTTCTCTTTGAAGAAAATCAAGTTTCATTTCAAAAACAACATTCATCAACTAAATTAAAAATGGCTAATAAATATTGACTAGCTAAAAATAACAGTGCAAGCATACTTGTATCTTTTAACGTTATGTAAACTGGTAGTCTCGTAAATGTTTTTCTGTACTAATTGAATTAAAAACGTTCTAAAATGTGTTTGAAAAACTTTAAGAAACCATAATTTCCTCTGACTTTGTCATGGTTTCAACATATTTTAGATATTCAGTTAGAAATAGGAGTGTCATTTTACTAAAGACTTGAAACGGCAACGCAGTTGGGTCCATCAAATCCAACACAATAATAGCCATGCCTAATAAAAGTTTTTTCAAGAACGATATTTAAAACTTTCATGAGTGAAAAGGAGAAAAATTTATTAATATTGTTTTTAGAAATATGGTATTATTTTGCTGACAATTTCCTCAGTCAAATCCGCATCTAAATTATAATCTATATCTGTTATATGCGGAGTTGCAATTTTACAAAAATGTTCTTATAAAAACATTTTTGTAAAATTGCATCTGTATATGAGGTTTGCTATCAAACTGGTACTTTCTGAATGCTCCAGCTAGTGATCCAAAAGTCCTTCGAACTCCTTTCTCACTCATTGCCCCATCTTAATAGTAGCATGTCTATTTTCCACTTATTTAAAATGAGAAGATACTTACAGGTAATCCAAGAATGATATTAATAAATTTGAGGTCAGAGGTTAAAAAAACCTCAATCAATTGAGTTGACAAGTTTTGTTAATTTTTCTTTACAATTTAAGCTATGCCTAGTATGATCACTTTGTTGACCCCGGTTTACTTGTGGTTTCTTCGCTAAATATATGACGCTGATGAATCAAACACGTCCAAACGAGTTAAAAAGATCCAAATTTTTGAAGGAAAACGCTTCAGTTACAAGCATCTAACTGTAATCATTGTTTTTACCAATCTTAAATTGACATTTTTAACATTATAGTCTGACCTTTTTATAATATCAGTATAAGTATTTTTTTTAATCTACATTATTATACCTAAAAACAAACAATATTTTGTGCTCTTCCAACTTCTCCTCTTAAAAATGCTACTGTTGTTAAACAACTTACAATTCATAGGTGTCACTCCATTGACTAGTTTGTAACTATATGAGTGACACCTAACCAATTTATATTAATTTACGATGAAGTTTGTAAATTTTATTGATATGGTTGAATAAAAAAAAGAATAAAAAAAAATAAAGATTATACATGATTTATCTTCAAGTTCATGATGATTTTTGTTTTATACGCGTTACAGGTAAACAATCTTTGTACTTTTAAACAGGAAGAGGATTTCTTCATATTGCTGTTGCATTTGTACTGTCATTTAAACCTATTTATAAAATTATTGATACCAATAATTGATACCTAATGAAAAAAACTGCTACAGAGTGCAACGGTCTTCCAGCATTTGTCTTAAAAAATTAGCTGCAGCTATGTCGCCGAATATAACATTAATTATTAACAAAAGCATTGATGATAACTATTTTCCTATAATGTGGAAAAAAACAAATATAGAAGCAGTCTGGAAAAATAAAGGATCGAAAGTAAAACCCGCAAACTATAGTCCTATTTCAATACTTCCCGTATAAGGAATGACGTTTGAAAAGAAAGTAGCTTGACAACTATCTATTTTTAGTGATATAAATAAGACGATTCCTCCAGAACATTATGGGTTTAGAGAGAAATCGAGTAGTAAATATGCTCTTATAAATGTTGTAGATGTTTGGATGCGTAGCATTGATCAGGGTAAATTTACAGATGCTATTATGATTGACCTGTTTAAGACATTTTACTATATTCCACACCAACTCTTTTATTAATAAGCTATTCAAAATAAAAAGTAGCTTGAGCACAATATCCTGGTTTTACAGCTAATTATCCGATAGGGAACAGAGTCGTTCAAACCAGTCAAGTAATCCAGTGGATGCCAGTTTTGTGTGGACTTCCTCATAAAAGTGGACTTAGTCCTTAACTTATTCATATTTACATTAAAGATCTTCCAACTGCCTCCAATTCTCATACAACCCAGTTTGCAATTCTCATACAACCCAGTTTGCTAAACAGTATTACACACTTTGAGGAAGGTTTGGACCCGTAAATCAGTTAAATAGTTAGCAGTAACACTTGGTTGGCATCTTACCTTTGATCTTCATATAAATAATGGCAAAAAAAAAATGTCATAGTATCTTGGGAGTTATTTCAAGTGCGAGTCGGTATCTAACTTGGGACCTTGTGAGATTTGTTTATATAGCATTGGTAAGATCTCTTATCTGCGGCACCACTACAGTTAAAGAAACTAGACATAGTTCAAAAAATTGCATCGAGAACTATTTGTGGTGCAAATAGAGATGCCCATTCAGCCCCTTTTCTGATCGAATTAAAACTGGATTCATTAAAAGATAGAAAAAAAAAGCATGTAGCTAAACTTGTTTGTTCAGTGTCGATTGGTCAGAGACGATTTGTTTTAACTTGCCATCAGTTATTGAGTAGTAGTTGACCAAACTGACAGAGAAATACAAAATAACAAAAAAACAAAAAAAAATACATTATTACAAATTTTCAAAAAATAATTAAAAAAAAAATGAAGAAGAAAGACAGGAAACTAAAGTTAAATGAAACTAAATTATAAAGAAGCGCAAAAGAAAAAGGAAATAAAAATAAAATCAATAAAAGACTAGATAACAAAATATATATTTATATACAATAAAACATTCTGTAAATTCTGTCTAGCTGTTATCGAAAAAAACTAAAAAAAATACTACAGCAACAACAACATTCGAGGAGCGGGAAAAAAGGTTATTTAAACTATTGTAGATAAAACTCTTAACTTCACGACACTGTATCCAGCTATTATCGAGTATAAAAATAAAATTATACTAAATATATAATTTATATGTGGAATTATTTTTAATTTATATGATATAAAGTAAAAATAATACCAATTTTCGAATTTCGTTCTGTGAAAAAAAAATGTTTAGTAGCAGCTCTAAACTGATGTTCTTATCCTGCTTTAAGAAGGGAAAGAACTAAATGTTATCAATTTAGTTTGATAAATAAAAGATATAATGATATACATTACATCTTAACAATTATGATATACAACACATCTTAACTTGTTTTCTTATTGATAAGTAACTTTACAACAATATTCTCTTTTAGTGAAAAACAGTAATTGTCAAAACCAAAAACGGTTGGTTTCCATCTAGTGATACAGGAGTGGCGCAACTATTTATTTTGAAACTATATTATGAACACATAATGATAATGACACAAATATTTTCATTAAATTACTAAAAAAACGTAATCGTTGTTTAGTATTATAAAATAATCTTTTTTTTTCAGCAACTCGATTTTCGTAGCTAATTATATGATTATATTGTAATATGACCTTAGTTTTGCTTTTGACTACATAGAAAAAAAATCACACACGATTGTTGTTTCTACGTAGTCGTACGACCCAATCGAAACCACATGGAGTTGTGTGTTTTCCAGATATATTGAAGCTTTTATTCATTATTTATGTTTTTTTTTTGGTTTTTTAGTTAACTACGTACTTTTTAAATACTTCAAATTTTGCATGGAATTATCTAGTTTTTAAAAGCCGTTGCTTAACCTTATTACCTTCCTAATTACGTTAGGGTTAGCGTCAGGATAAGTTTTTTTCGTGTAATGTTTGTCGATCAAATCTTCACTTTTAAAAATTTGCGCAGAGGTAAATTTAAGTCGCACGTGAATATAAATCCAATGAGAAAAAGTTATTTTGTTAGTCATTTATTAAAAAGAGGAAGAAATAAATTTGAAGAAACAGTTTATTATAAATAGGGTGTTTATATTTATTGATATTTTTCAATAACTTAAAATTATATATATTTTATAAATAAAGCTATAAAAAAGATAAAAGAGTTTTTTAACTTTTTTCTTAAGGAAAAAGATAAAAAATTCTTTTATCTTTTTTATAGCTTTGTTATAAAATATATATAATTTTAAGTTACAATGACATAGTATTACTATAATTATCTATTTTACTATAATTATAATTTTAAGTTACAATGACATTGTATTACTATTAATAAAGAAACGCAGCATGACAAAAATAAACAAGAAAAAGCCTTCTCTTGTTTATTTTTGTCATACTGCGTTTCTTTACTAATAGTAATACTATGTCATTTAAGAAATAATTGTTTACATTTATTTTAACATTTTCTTTTTGCATTTGAACATTTAAACATTTTTTTTAAAGCTACGTAAAAATCTCTCAGTAATTATAGGTATAATTACTGAAATAATTAGTACATATAAATGCATTTTTTATTAATTAGTAAACATAAATGCATTTTTTATGGTATTTGAGAAATAATTTGTGTTGTAGCATTTGTGAAGTATCAATTTTTTTTCCACAATAAAAAGTAAAAAAAAGATTTAAATAATTAAGTAAAATATTATCTATGTATGTAATAGACCTCATTATTTACGCAGATAATGATGATAAAGGTAAAAAACTGAAGTTAAAAACAAATAATATTTTAGGATAAAACTAAATTCATAAAACTAAATTCATAATTAAATTTAACAAATTAAATTAATCTAATGTCATATGCAATGTGTTTTGTCCATAAAATAGTTTAAATACAAAACCACAAAAGTTTTTATATTTTTGCTAAATAACAAAACATTTGTTAATGTTAGTTATTTTCTTATTTATTGATAACAAGTATGGATTTATAAATTTTTAAAACAGGAGTTTATTTTTTAATCTTATACAATTTTTAATAGATTTTTATTTTTTTATTTTTAGTGTTAAAACATTAATTTAGAATGTCATTAATAATAAATACACAAGAAGGAGAGCTTGAAAAGCCTATTGTAGATAATTCGGAATATGAAAGTTTTGATTTTGCTTTTTATGGCTCATTTTTTATTGACCGTCGTTATACACCTAGTGTTTTTCCTTGGTTAGTCAAGCACATGTTGAGAAATAAAAAAACATTCAAACTTGTTACTGCTAAAATTTCAAATGATAAGCTTATTATCATTGACAAATCTAATCCTCAAAGTATAATTCAAGAGCATTTATTTGATTCAATATATAGATTGTCTCGCTTAAGGAATTGTGACCTGGATGATTATTTGGCATATGTGACTGGAAAAGCAGACAATAGTTCTTCTCATTTTCATTTATTTAAATGTGATTTACAAGAAAAGGTATTGGTTTTTATTTTATTTCTGATTTTACCCATTTCTTAATAATCTTCTATTTTGACCAGATTTATCTATGGATTTAGCAATGTTTTAAGGAGTTGATTCTGCAATTCTAAGATTTTTATAATCTCTAAGAAGTATAAATAATAATAAATACTACTTCTATGCATCATATTCACTAATAGTAAACTATGCAAGATTTAAAAGGGAAAACATGTAATAATAATAAAAAAAACAGGATTGTTTTATAATAAAATATCTTTTTTTTCGAACAGGTGGTGAACCAAAGTAAAATAGATACATTCTCAAAAATTTCATTATTATATACCATTTCATAGGTTGAATATTCAGTTTTTGAAAAATGTATTTATTTGGGTATATCTATCATGCTTCTAAGCTGTAGAATAAATATCTATCATGCTTCTAAGCTGTAGAATAAAAAGCTTTTTTTAAAAAAAAGTTATTTTGAAATTTTTTTTAATTTGAAAATATTTTTGTGTTGCTAATAACCATAAAATATTTGGTAAATATTTTATGGTTATTAGTAACATAAATAAATGCCCTATTGCAATACTATTTGGCATGATGCAAGTTATGTCAAATAAAATGATTTCAAATGACGGTGTATTTGAAGTACTTTTTTTAGTTTAAGTTTCATATATATAGTTGAATACTTTTGATGGTCTAGTAATTTGAGACTTGAAATACATTGTTCAATATCTATATAATCAATATAAAAAAAATTTGGTTTATAATCCATGAATGTCCGCATGGTCTAAAATAATTTTTACAAGTTAAATGATGTATCTGATTTTATGTGGCAAAAACATTAGTATCTTATTTTAAATGGTTATATAATAATTGGGTTTCAGTGAGACTAGATTAGTCTTAAAAACTTATTAGTGATATTAGTAAATATTAGTGTTACAAACTTGTTTTAAAATTATATTAGAGTTGTTAGTCCTTGGCCTTGGCCTCAGCTTTGCCTTAAGGCCAAAAATTAAGGCGTTGGCCTTGAAACTTTTGGCCTTGAAAATTTTGGCCTTGGACTTTAATGTTTTGGCCTTGGCTTTCAAAAAATATACATAAAATTAAAGAATTAAAAGTTTTAATTCTTTATTTTTATATATTTTTGTTTTTGGCTTTTATATATATCTACATAGAGTTCAGAACTTTTGTAATTGTAATGAAAACAATAACAGGAACAATAACTATTGTTATTGTTTTAACTCTTTTAGAAACAATAACAGGCTTTGTTTAAAATAAAAAAATGCTTAATACATTAGCTTAACGCATTATTTGACGTCAAAAAATTATCTTTATTTTTTTTTATAGACGTTAAGTGTTTTAACTACTGCAATAAATAGATAACCGCAAACTAGTTCAATTTAATTAACTCAAATAGCTAAAACAATGTATAAACGTTGTAAATGTAAATATATGAAAAGTTTAATATGTTTTTAATTGTTATTCTAATATTGGTTTTAAGTTCAATATTATTTAGTAATATATATAAATAAATAAATAAATACATATATATATATATATATATATATATATATATATATATATATATATATATATATATATATATATATATATATATATATATATATATATATATATATATATATATATATATATATATATATATATATATATATATATATATATATATATATATATATATATATATCAGGGCTCGAATTAACGGCAAAAAATCTAATTGCAAAAAAATTTTTTTTATAAACCAAAACCCCCCCTCCTTATACCTTGCGCCGCTTACGTTCATGCTGACGTTAAAACACGTGTTAATTTTAATTATTAAAAGCTATAAAAGCTTAAAAAAACTTTAAAGTTGTTTTAAAAATATAAAGAGCCTGGGTTAATGTAAAACAGATTCGTGATGCTGTTTCGTGTTGATTTATACCGTTTATAAAATAAAACGCGTTTAAAATAAAATGAAGCAAATAAATAAAATTGATCTAGTTAATAAACTAAAACAAAACTTCATATTTGCGCCTATAGACCTATACGAGTTTATAATCTATAGACCGAAGCAAAAAAACATTAGATACCACATCTTTTATAAATATTCGTTTCCTGAGCATACTATTAAAAATTTAAGTATAATTAAGTTTTTTATTCAAAAGGTTTTTTAACTGATGTTTTCATTCAATTTTTTTTTTGTTCTAAATATTTTCCAAAAAAAAGTGAAACAAAAAAATTTGTTTAATAAATCGAATTATATTAAGTATAAGAATATGCTTAAATTATTTTTTTAGAAAAAAAAAATTTTGAACAGATGTAAAATAATTTCTTAAATTTCATTTAAATTTTTTTATAATTTTTATTTTAACTTGCAATTTGCAATCACTGCTTGGATGTTTGAAATAGAATGTTTCTACTTTTTTTCTATATTTTTTCTTGAAAACTATTTTCAAGAAAAAATATATAATTCAAAACGTTAACAAAATTTACAATTTTTTCAATTTTTCAATTTTTTTTTCAATTTCAAATTTCAATCACAAAATTATTTGAATAAGTGAATTTTAAGGCTAAAGTTCTCTTGTTCAAATAGATTTCTTTTTAAAAAAAATTCTCGAAAACAAAACATGTCTATGGCTAACTTTTGTGAGTATATTAAATAATTTAATATAATTGTTAAATTAATACTTGAATTTACTAGTTACTATCTTAACTTTACTGGTTGTTTTGATTTAGGTTATAAGTTCATTTACTGTGATATACTCTATCCATTCAGTAAAGTTAACTAAATATAACTTCAATAGTTTCAAGGTCGCTAAAAATGAAAAATGTGAAATTAAAAAAGTTGCTGGTTTCTATTAGTACAATTTTACTGATAGAAATTTTATTTAGTAAAAACCAATTAATATATATTTTATTATACTTAAAGTATTAAAAATAATTATATAAAATTGTTTATAAAATAATAATTTAAATCATTATTAATAAGTTAATTTGGAGCAACGTTTTTTTAAAAAAAGATAAAAATGTTTTGTTAAAAAAAAATGAAAAAAATGCATTTTTAACCTTTGTCTTTTTAATTTGCTTCTAGGCAGAGATTTAAAGTAATTTAATTTAAAAAGTGCTTTACGTTGAATAAAAATCTCCGCGAAAAAGAGCAAGATCATGCGCGCAAGATCATGCATCGTAAATAGAAATTCAAGACAAACTTTGCATGCCGTAATTTACTATGAAAACATTACTTTTAAGAGTTGTCAAAAAAAAAAGCTAAATTAGAAAAATAGTAAATAAACAACTAAAAAAGTAAACCAATGGCAAAAATATATGTTTTAAAAAAAAACTAATCGCGAAAGTGTAAAAAGCAATCGCGATCATTTTTTCTTCAGGAAAATAAACAGAATTAAAAAGAAATTGCTAATTATAAAGAAATTGCCAGAAAATGCATAACTACGTGAGTAATTTGTCTTCGGTTATTAACTGGACATAACTTTTAAAAAAATGAAAGTCGTTAAGAAACGTAATTTTAAAACCACGTTGCAAAATTTTATAACAATTAAATGTATATAAGATTTGCTTTTTTGAAAGTTAAAGCGTTTTTAAATATCCATTCAGCGTAAGGTTAATTTTTCTTTTTGGCAATTAAGAGTAAACTGTTTTTAATAATAAATGAACAAAAGTAAAAAAAATCAGTCTTTATAACTATCGCGCAAATTTTTAAATGAATGAACTTTTGATCTTTAGCTGGCTATTTTAGTTTACGTAAGGAAAAGGTAAAAACGAAGTATAATTTTTGTCAGACAGTTTTTTTTCCTTTCAATATTCTTTTTAAAATAATAAAAAAAAAAGGTTTTAATAACTGAATAAAAGTTTTATTTAGATCTGTTTAAAATAACCCATAGTAAATGTAATTTATTTATTCAAATGTAATTTTTTAAATTATTCTTGATAATTAAAAATATATTTTGTTTGAAATATGTTTTTAAAAATATAATATGGTTTTTAATCAAAATAATAAAATATTTTTAAAATTATGTTTACTGTAATTACCTCTTTAATTATCTTTAATTTAAAAGGCGCCTTAAAATCACTTTAAAAATTATAACCTTTAGTAAAAGTTAAATAAACAATTTTACTAATATTTAAATCAAAATTTTAAATTTTAAATAATTAAAAATAAGTTTATTAAATGCTTATGTTTTTAATTCAAATACAAGAACGTAAAACTATTTTGTTAATTTTACAAATATTACGCAATATAATATATGTAAATATATATGTAAATATATTATGTAATATAAATATTGATTAAAAATTGTTTAAAATATTTTTATTATTTTAAATTAAATATACTAAAATATAGTTAATAACTGTTTAAAATACTTTAGACAATTTTCAATAATTATTTACTGATAGTGTGGTATATGCAACAAAAACGTTTATTAAAATCTTAGATAAAATAGTTTTATTTCAGCTAAAGTAACTCCGTCCACCAGTAAATTCATGTATTCATGTATTCAAAAAATGCCTTTAAATCAACACCTAATTATAGGATAAAACTGATCAAGATAAACATAAATGGTTATTAAGAAAATAATGATTAAAAGTTATTGTTGCGGCACCCGTTTAACTAGAGGAGAATGAGAGGGAGGGAGAAATCAAAAACATAATCCCCTTCCCTCAACGTTGCTGAAAAAAAAAAGCGGTATCCCCAAATAAACTCTTGTTCTTCACTGATATATATATATATATATATATATTATATATATATATATATATATATATATATATATATATATATATATATATATATATATATATATATATATATATATATATATATATATATATCATTATTTCTGAAATTGTTTTTATTGAATTGTTATTGAATAAAAAAATATTGATTTTTTATTATTAAAAATTTCAGGAATTAACAAAAATATTAACATATTGATAAACAAAAACCCTTGTTATTTATTTAAACAGCGATTTTGTTTTAACTAGCAAAGATTAATTTAGGTTTTTAAATATTTTAAAATTTATGTTGCTAGGCATTTTCACTTGCGTTATATAAACATATTAAAAAGTTTAAAGTCTGTTTTGAGCATATTTTTGATAGTCAGAATGCGTTCGCCAGGAATTTAATGCATTAATGTTTTATGTTATCGTAAAAATGCTTTACATTTAAACAAATCACAAAGAAAGACAGAGCTACAGCAAAGAATCGTTTTTACTGATTAAATTTTATTTAAAAAAATTTTTTTTTTTTTTAATTTTATTAAATTTAAAAAAAAATTTAATTAAATTTAGAAAAAAAAAAAAATCTTAATTATGCAGTGATACCAATATTTAGACAAAGTTTTTTTTTTTTAATGTTGACTTTTTTTAATATTTGCTGAACATTTATAAAATAGGTACCACCTGATCCTTGTCAAAGTTTTCCGAATGCTTTCTCAATAGGGTCACTAGTAAATTGTCCAAGGCAAACATACTTATGACTTGTAGTTTGTAAATGTTTTACTAGTTCAAACATCCCACGACTTGTTTGGGAAAACGCATGAGAAGTATCTTTGGTTAAATTTTTTAGTCTATGACCATGTTTTTCAGAAGCCATTTTTTCGACCATATCAGCCAAATTTAAAAGAAAGTTCAATCGTTTATCATTGTTTGATGAAAAACAGCACAATATTTATCTCTAGTACAAATATCTTCATAAAGTCCTTTAACATTAACAATTTTAAAAAATTTGATAAAAATAGATAAAAACACTGTGGTGTCTTCGACATTTTTTATGGATGGATGAATTTTTATAGCAGCTAGTCTCATCACAAAATACTCGTAAACAAATTGACACATTTTGACATTCAATTGGTTTTAGAAAAACAGCAGTTTCATTAAGTTTAGACAATTTCACAATAGTATCTTTTTCAAATAGAAAAAGTTTTTTAAGATCTCACCATTTTGCAGTTCTTGAAATACCTTTGTAAGTAAAACATTTTCTTGGGATTTTTCTGTGAGCCAGTTATTGCGAATAGATTTTATTAAATGAACATAGTCATATAGAAGGAAAATGTTATCATTAGTGAACCAAGTATTACGGGGATTGAACATTCCAAAAAACTTTTTATTATTTTTTTATTGTCGCAAAGAATAGCAATAACAGAACCACTACATTTTATTATCGCTTCAATTGTTTGCACTGTGTGATCCTATTGAAAATTAGCATCCAAACCTGTTACTGGCAATGCTTTATACAAAAGAGCCGGAGCCGAAATCCGGTACAGCCCTATTTTTGACATATTTGCTTGTTGCTGTTCATTGTACATTGTTTTATGTAACAATGTTTATGTAAAGTGCAAAAAAGAAAAATACAAAATGGAACACATTATTTTTATATGCCCTAAAGAAGCAAACGTCCCAATAGAAGAAAGAGTTTATATGCAAGACCAGCATTAAAAAACCGGACCAAAAGGTCTATATCAGATGTCTTCAGTAAATACGTCTGCTTTAAAACACAATAACAGCATTAAACAGAAGGAAGGAAATATATCACATCAAAAACATTAATAATGAGGTTTCAGGTTCATTACCAGATCCCCCAGAATGCATATCTGAAATTATAAAACCTCAGGTATTTTAATTTATATATTTAACACTTGTTAATAATAAAATCATTTATCATAAATATTTTAAATTTTTTACTTAAGGAACATGATGAATGGCAACCGAGTAAAAAAACTCAGGCAGATTATAGTATTCAAAAGTTTCCAAGATATGCTATGGAGCTGGTCAGAGGTGGATGTTCTTCAAATCTCGGCGCAGCTCTTGGAAACGCCTTACTCCATGATATCAACCATCTATTGTTACCGGAAGTTGACATCAATAATATTCTAATGGATAAGTGTAAATTAGACAGAGCTAAGTCAAAAGTAAAAGCAATTTCAAAAAATGCAGATTCAGAAGAAAAGACACAATTATTTTGTATTGGTTTAGATGGAAAGATAGATAAGAACACGAAAATGTACCTAAAAGCAAATAATTCTGAAGAAAAAAGTTTTATAATAAAATGTTTTGATGCAGAGAATCACCTAACTTTTACACATGAGGATGGCAAATCTCACGGAATCTACTTGACACACAGAACAATACCCATTGTAGGTGCAGCTGGGGATATTCTTGCTCTTGAGAATTTTTGGTGTACTAGAAGAATATGACAGCCTGGAGAGCATCCATGCTAATCTTTTAGACAATACTGCATCAAACACAGGTTGGAGGAGTGGCTTGGTGGTTAATCTAGAAGAGTTGATAAGAAGAAAACTTCACACTATAGGCTGTAGTCTTCATCAGAATGAACTCCCACTAAAAGCCCTTTTTAAAAAGTTTGATGGAAAAACAACCGGTCCACAAAATTTTAGTGGACTAATTGGGAATGGATGCTCTGAAGAAATTCATAGACAAGTAGAGTTTGAAGCAATTGAAACTTCTATCACTGAAGGATTTATTTCAGATGAGATATTAAAAGATATTAGTCATGATCAAAGGCTTCTTTACGAGTATTGTAAATGTATTGGATTAGGTAAAGTAGACGACAAATGGGTTAATTGTAAAATAGGTCCACTGAATCATGCTCGATGGTTAACTTTTTCTATACAAATTCTTTGTTTATACACTCGAGATGTTTCTCCAAACGCAAGTCTGAAAAAGCTTACCCATTATATTGATAAAGTTTATGCTCCATCATGGTTTCAAATAAAGAAATCTTCCAAACTGCAAGATTCCCCCCAGATTCTGTTTTTCACTATTAATCAATTGAATCTTATTAAGTTTGATGATGTAAAGAAGATTGTAAAAAAAAAACATTCAAGGTAATGCTTTCTGTTTGATACCTGCAAATTTTCTCTACGCAATGGTTAAAAATAATGATGAGCAGATCAGAACTTTTGGATTTAAGACAATACTCGCTCTCAGAAAACAGTAAACTTTTAAAAATTAGTTTTTCTCCTTATAATTTATCAGGCATCTGTATATAAATCTTTTTTAAAAAGTGTATTGTGCTAATTAAGTTTCAATAAAGTATAATCATTTTTTTTTTGTTTTTAGCAAGGTTTTTGAAAGTAACAATATTTTTATTTTCAGAAACAAAAGCAGTTATGCAATAGAAAAAAAAAATTCCTCAAATAAATTGGAATGCTACGAGCTGGATATCTCTTATTGATATTGCTGATCTTGCTTATATCGAAATGGAGCCACCAACTACAAAAGATGATGAAGATATTTACACATTCATTAAAAGTAAAATAAAGCCTAATATTCAAGACCTCCCCTCTCATTCCCAGAGCGTTGAGAGGTGTGTCAAATTAGTTTCTGAAGCTTCTAACACAGTATATGGATTTGAAACCAGGCATAAAACTATACTAACAAAACTACTTAGCAGAAAAATGCGTCAAAGGTTTATCTCAAAAGGACATTATTCTCAGTCGTACGATAATTTATTTGCTTAACTTGCTTGTTACATTCTTGAAATAATTTTTTTTTAGTTTATTATTGCTTTTTAAATGACTTATTAAACTAATAATGATTATTTATTGAATTTTAATTAGTATTTAATTCGATAATCTATGTAACTCAATAAAAAAAATTTTTATACTTAAATATAAATTGGACTTGTGACATTTTTGCATAATAAAACGAAACGATAAACCATATCAATAAATTTAAATACAATATTTGAGTTTTTCCTTGGTCTGTCAAACTCTTTTTGAATAAAATTTAATGTGAACGTATTGAAAAATATAAAACCTCAAGCAAAAAGTTGATATTTTTATAGCAAATGTTGATGATCGTACTTTTAGATTTTGATCGCTAATCCGCAAGCCACCGTTTGACTTAATACTTGCAACTTCTCATTTTTTTGTTTTATAAATATAAATACACCTTTCAGTACCTTAGCCGTTACGAAATTAAAAAAAAAGTGAAAAATCGACCTACCCTAATATGTATATATATATATATATATATATATATATATATATATATATATATATATATATATATATATATATATATATATATATATATAATTTTTTCTTACAACTTCATTTTAGCATGTTTTTATTTTATAAATACTAATAAAATAAATATAATATATAGTGTAATATATAGATAAAACTAATGTTATTTGTTATTTTCAGAAGACAGAGTTTCTTACCTCATTAAAAACACATGTATTGGGTTTTAACAAGATTCCATCTCCTGGCTATGATCAAAAATCGTTCAAATTATCACCTTCAAAGCTTACTCATCAACGTACTGTTTCCTCTGGTGCTGTTTTAATATCTGAATCAAGTCCTGTTTTTCAAGATTCAGTATACTACATTGGTAAAGTTTCTATTTCACAGCCACAAGCTCCTCCAAAGTTTATTGACGATGTTTTATTACAATTGCAGAAAATTCAAAGTTCGGATATCTTAATAAAAAAAAAGCGTTCGGTTACTGGACCAAATTTGGAAAATAATGAATATCAATCTGGTATTTTTTATTTTTATTTTTATATGAATTCGCTTTCGTTAGATTGCCTTCTTAGCTAAAATGGCCAAACTATAGTTAAGAGGGCTGCTAATTATAGATTTTTTTATTTTTATTTTAACCCTCTCTCAACTTTGATAACTCCAAAACAAGAGCCTTGATGAGCAAAGTAACTCACATAGAAACAAGTTGATTGAAAAGTTGGTATTATCTATATTATAGATATATCATTTACATGCAACATTTTTATGTTTATATTATTTTAAAAAAATTTCTTATCTTTTTTAAGCTTTTTTTATGTTACAGACACAACTGATTTTGGATTCCCAGAATTAATTCCTTTTAATTTAATGGCACGACAAAGATCTGTAAGTTGTGATAGTAAAGATACAGATGAAAACAGTTTAAGCATTCATCGTAATAAGAATTCACTGTACAGGAGTGCTCTAACCAATATTACAAATGAAGTAAAGTCAAGATTGGTTACTCTTCAAATTGCCAAAAATTCTGTTTCTTTATTCAGTTTAGAGTCAAAGACTTTGCTATTAGAGAGAAAAATGAAAAATATTTCCTTTTGTACTAAGGTAATTTTTTGTTCTTTGTTTTATGCTTTATGGAGTTACACTGAGTAATTGGCTCATTTTAGCAATTTACCAATGTTTTATCTTACATTTTCACTTTTCCAAGACCAAGGGCCACCAACAATTAGGAGAAACATAAGAATGATACTCAAGAATCTTCTCTTTTATTTTTAACTTTTTTTACACCCCTTTCTTGACCCTTTAAATAAAGGTATACCAAGAAAAACAAACTTTGTTGTTTCACTCAAAACTCACCGTCTCCATGTTAGCCAGTTCCTCAAAGTCTTTAAAATATATGCCACAATCTACAGACTTTATAATTTATTCAACCGTGTTGAATTCCAAAGAGTTTTAGTAAATAATGTCATGGTAGAATTCTTTTTTTTTTTCGAATCAATATTTTTTGTTTTTTTTTTGTTTTTTTAAATTAAGCGTTTATTATCAATCCTATGATTTTCCTATAATCTTTATATCAAGCTAAATTAAGTTAAGATTTTTTATGTTAAAATATAATAAATATAATAAATATTCTCTTAAATACAATAAATATTCAAAAAAGATGTTGATCATCTTATTATATATTCTGAATTTTTTTTCTTGTGAACTTTTTTTTTAGCGTATCGAAATAACATTTTACAAGTTTCTAAATTTTTAATTGATAAAGAATTTTGGTAAATAACATAATTTATTAGAGATATTTGCCAAATTTTTAAATTTTTAGTCAGAAAAAACTTATAGATTTTACACTTAACAAGTATTCAGAGAGCTTTTTATTAATTTAAGCAATAATTAATGTTTTATGGCAATAATTTAAGAAAGATGGTGATAAAAAATGTCAACGTGTTGAAATACTCGTTAAAAACATGTTATATTTAATATTTCCCAATTTATATTGTATTATGTTGTATTTTACATTAAAACAATTGACGTTTTTCATTAAACGATTTCAATTTTAAAATTGACTCTAATTGCAACTTAAATTGCTACACTTTTTTGCAATCTTGACCAATAGTTGTTCAATTTTAAACATGTTTTACAGAATAATTTTCTTCTGATAATATTAATACGCTAATTTAATATTATTAGTCGAATTACGTCATTTTCTAGGCTTTTCTATTTTAAAGTAGTTTCTAGGCTTTTCTATAAGCGTTTTTTTTTTTTAAATTTTTATTTACCAACAACGCGTATTATGGGTTGCTTACTGCTAGTTAAATAAGTTCTCGCATGATTAAATAAGAATTTCCAGAATATTTGTGCCTGATGAAAAGTCTAGCAAATAAATCCTATTAATTAAACTTTCATAAGGTTACCAGCTGTTTTAACAAAAATCTTTTCACTGTGTCTGCATATTTTTTTGAATAAAATTTGGATAGCATAACATTGATAACTAATTAAAATTCGAATAGTTAATTTTTTTAAAAGCATAACAAACTATATATCAATAGAAAGCTAAACAAATGAACTTTTTAATTAAATAAGTTTTCAACACACATCATTGAACAATAAAAAATGCAAAGTGCTTAAAACCATTTTTTTTATAAATAGTAACTAAAACATTAAGTCCAAAACAAAGCTCATTTAATGTATAAAAAGAATGTTTTTTTCATAAGACATTTGTAATTACTTAGCTAAATATTTTTAGCTAAAAAAAATTTGTAATTACTTAGCTAAATATACTTCTACAAGTTAAATTTACAGTGTTAATGGTGCTTTATTTTAGAACTGTATTTAAAGAAGTTTTTTTTTAATCAAGGGTTACTCAAGATTTTTTAACTTTGTCCTGTGATAACTTTTTATAATAATACAACTTGGCTCTTATAACTAAACAAGTTCTCTAGTAATCTTTAATAATAATAAAAAAATTTAATTTGATAAAAAAAATAATTTTTAGATTTCTTATCAAAATTCTACAAAGGCTTTGAGGAACTGGCTAACCTGGAGATGACAAGCTTCGAGTAAAACAACAAAGTTTGTTTTTCTTGGTATACTTCTCTTGGTATTTATTATTTTGTTTTACTTGAAAAAACTCAGCCCCAACATTTTTTCTATCATTCTCTTTAATATGAAAACAAATTGTCTCTGCACTTTGGGATCCTTTTAACTCCAAACCATTAAATTTGGATTTCACAGTTGTATATTTTCAAATAATCATTACATATATATATATATATATATATATATATATATATATATATATATATATATATATATATATATATATATATATATATATATATATATATATATATATATGTATATATATATAATATATATATATAATATTTTAAATTAATTTCATTATTAGGAAAATTATCATTCTCAGATTTTTAAAACTTAATTTATTTGTTATTTTAAATAAATAAAAACAGCAAAGCAAACATTTTATTTAAATTCAAAATAAAATAATTAAAATAAAAACAGCAAAAACAAATTCTGAACAAATTAATGCACCTAAAATGTAGCAGTGTTCCTATATGGGAACATTAGAATTTTGACAAATAAATTTTGTCTGATTTTTAGGATTTTTGAGAAATAATGAGCCACCGATACATGCTTATTATTAAATAAAAACCATACTTTACAAAATTAAATATAAAACAAATTTTTTTTAAAAGTACTTATGAATATGTTGCATTAAATCCAAATAAAATTATTATTTTTAATTCCATTTCAGTGTTTTTGATAAATTTAAAAAGTATACTATTTTTCATACAAATGTTATTAAATTTGATATAAATAAGCTATCAACATTCAAATTAAAGATGATAATAGGTAATTGTGAAAACACAAAATATAATTTAATTTTAATGTTATATTTTTGCTGGGTTTCCATATGGGAGCATTAGGCACTAAAAGGTTAATAAAACAAAAAACAAAAAAAAAACCTGTCAAAATAAACTTCATTTAAATTCCAAAAACAAACTGATTATTTTAATTGTAAACAAACAAACAAACAAAAAAATAAAAAAGTTAAAGAATAAAAATTGAAAAACAAATATAATAAATAATAATAAATTAAATCATTGAAACAAAGTTGGCAAACTTTAGTTAATTTTTCAAATTTTTAACCAAACTCCAACTTTTAAAAGTAAAGTTGGTCAACTCAGTGTTAGCTTTTCTGTAGATTTTGTGCTAAACATTTGCTTGTTTGTTGATTTGTTGATCCCTGTTTCAAAAAATTTTGCCTATCTAATGCTAAACTAAAACGGTTTTAGGTCAGCAATTTTTTGCCGACTATATTTTTCCTAATTCTGAGGGCTATATATATATATATATATATATATATATATATATATATATATATATATATATATATATATATATATATATATATATATATATATATATATATATATATATATATATATATATATATATATATATATATATATATATATATATATATATATATGTATATATATATATGTATATATATATATGTATATATATATGTATATATATATATGTATATATATATGTATATATATATATGTATATATATATATGTATATATATATATGTATATATATATATGTATATATATATATGTATATATATATATGTACATATATATATGTATATATATATATATATATATATATATATATATATATATATATATATATGTATATATATATATATATATGCATGCAGCCATGAGCATGAAAATAGCAATACTTTAAAATTATTTTCATTATTACTCTCTTTCTGTAAAGTAGATTGAGCAAATGAGAATTCGATACATCCAAGAATATCTTTATTTTTGACTATGTAATTGTAATTAAGAGAATGCATTAAAATAGCAGTGGTTGTATCGATTTTAAAGTTGGTTTAAAAAATTAGAGATTTTGTAATTTTTATAGGAAAGGTACTATAATATTTTCTTTATTTGTTTGTGTATGCTCAATGGTAAAAGTGTTTTTAAACCTTTCAAAGTGGGCCAAGGACTTCATTGCACACCAGCTGAATGCAAAATTATTTTAAAGCATCATAGAGAGGATAAATTTTACTCATATATACAAAATATTATTGGATGTTAAGCAAAGATGATTTCAAATGCCATAAATTATAAAGCAAAAGTTGAAAAACAAGGTGGAAAACATAAGACTATTGCACAAGAAGACAAAAACGAATTGTTAGATATTTTAAAAGCAAACCATACCACTAAATTTTTGCAGTTTGCAAATCAACATCTGAATCAGCTCATAGAAGAGTGGTGCAACATGTTATGGACTGATGAATCAAAAATCGTTCTTTATGGAGGTACAGGTTTAAGACGACATGTAGAACATCTGGGTAATTCAGAATTCCAGAAAAATTATACTATTAAGACTGTAAAACATGTCCAAAGCCAAAGTCATGGTATGGAGCTGCTTGAGCCAAAATCATGGTATGGTATGAGCCAAAGTCATGGTATGGAGCTGCTTCTTATATAATGGTGTCAGACCTATTTATAAGACTAAATGGTATCATGAACCAACATATGTATGTTAACATCCTCAATAATGTCATGCTTCCCTATGCTAATGAAGATATGTCACTAAAATTAAAGTAAATGTGCTGGCCTATGCTAATGAAGATATGCCACTGGGGTTGTGAAGCCAAAACAAAAATTTTGCAATGAAATACTAATGGTAAATATTATGTTATACTTATTTTGAACTTTTCAATGTTAAAAAATTAACTTTTTTAATGTTCTCACTAGAAAAATTATTATTTTCTCCATTTTTAGATAACACTGCTATTTCAATGACTGCAACCTTTTTTTAATATTATTGTTTTGTTTTTGAAATTAAATGTAAACTACTATTGATGTGATGTTTTTTATTCTATTAGATTGAAGTGTCAAAATTAATATAATAAAGTTTTTTTTGATAATTAGTAAAAAAAATTGCTCAATAGTATTCAAAAAATTCCAAGTACAACTATTTTCAGGCTCATAAATGTATATATATTAGGGATGTACCGGAATTCTGTTCCAGCCAGAATTTTCTATTTATGTT